ATACATAAGATTGTACACGTAGAGATTTTATATATATATATATATATATATAGATAGATAGATAAATAGATAGAGATATATATATATATATCACTCTGTCGCGTGGAGTAAGATGAACATAGATGGCATGGGAGAATGCATGGACGAATGAGTGAATGAGGAGGGAGACTCTTTTCTTTTTAATTTTTCTCGCGGAAACAAGGGTATATAATACGATAGAGCAAAGATACGCGTGTATTTTGTGTTTTAAAGTGTGCACGTGTACATGATGATACTCTCGAGTGAATGGGATGATCGAGCGATGTGTGGAAATGACGAGAGAGAGAGAGAGAGAGAGAGAGAAGTTGTTTCTTTGTTCTTTTTCTCTTTTTTTTTTTTTTTTAATTTTCTCGTTTTTTGGAAGAATCGAAAAAAAAAAAATCGACCGAAAGAGATCGCGAACACAGATCGAGACGCATTTTTTACGACGACGAATCTTTTCTTACCACGTACGATACTACTCTGAACCGAAGAAGACGAGAAGATGAGAAGATAAAGATAAAATAAAGGAAAAAGTGAGAAGGAGTGAGGAGAGAAATGAAAATCTCTATATACTGTGTCGAATTCACTTCAGCCTTCAGTGTGCAAACGCTTCGAAGGCGTGAAAAGGAATGAAAGGGGGGAGAAAAGGGGGGGAGGGGGGGAGAAGAATAATAGGAAAATAAGAAGAAAACTTTTTTTTAATCGTTCTTAGCGACTATCCACGTTTTACTTTCTACTTTTTATTACCACTGAAACATGATTTCTACCTTGCTACCAAGACGATAATATCTCGCCCCTAGATGGTAAGGTGGACGAGCTGCTGCTAATTCTATGGATTATGATAATTACATCTTCTACCACTTAGTACTTTTTATTATTGGACGCTGTAAAAACAGCGTTGAGGGATTATATCGAACGAGCGAGCGAGCGAGATAGAGATAGAGAGAGAGTGTGTGTACGTGAGAAAGAGAGAGAAAGACAGAGACGACCGTTCATATACGCATATATACATATACATACATACATATATAAACATAGGCTGCCAATTTTCGATCGATTTGTAGAAAGAGGAAAGCGATAAAAAAAACGAAGAGGGGGGAAGAAGTGTGACGAAAAGCAGGAGGAGCACACGTGTGCATAGCGAGAATGGGGGGAAAAAAGAAAAAAAATTTTTTTTTGGGAAAGATTTTTAAAGAATTTGGATGAATTTGTGATGAATTTTAAGGAGGGGAAGAGAAATCAGAAGTTTTATAGCGGTTAATTGTTTGCGTTACACGCGTGCCGTGTATATATATATATTAGGCGAATATTAACGAATAAAAATAGTTTGAAATAAAGAAAAAGAAGAAGAAAAAAAAATAAACGTACGGTTATATACGGAAAAAATTCTTAAAGTGGTTTATACTTATGAAAGATCCGGGACTCTTTAAATCGATATTAAGAATGTTGTTGGTATCTGGCGTAGATCTATGTGATGTTTTTCTTTTTTTAAAAAAAAAAAAAAAAAAAGCTTGACACGTTATGGGGATCCAATTGAGACATTTAATCGAGCGGTGTAACAAATTCATTGGCTACTTTGTGTACATAGAAATTCTATATATATATATACATACATACGAAAATTATATTATATATATATAAACTATAATAATTATTATTATCATTATTACTATTATTAATATTATTTTTATTATTATAACTATCGTAATTATTATTTTTATTATTATTCTAATTATTATTATCGTATGTACATACGAACCACGGACTGAACGAGGAGGCACACGACGTTTTTCTTTTCTCTTTTTTTTTTTTTTTTTTTTTTTCCTTTAATTTTATTCATGCACCGACAGGATGGGGAGAAAAAAAAAAAAAAAGAAAACGATACGATAGAAAATAAAAACCACGATATGATTTCCATTGAGAGATTTTTTTTTTTTTTTACAAAACGATCCAACAAAATCGACACCATGTTTGAAAAAAAAAGAAAAGGAAGAGAGAGAGAATTATAATCGCAACTCTGTAGTTCAAAGGAAAAAACGAGATGAGTCGAGATTGAAAATCTTTTCCTCCCCACGAACAAACACTCAAATTCATATACACACACACACATATACACACACACAATAGAGAGTACCTATAGAAATCGGTGGAGAGCCAGTGTTCGTTAAATAATAGGACAATTGAAAAAATATAGTTAGGATGGCTGATGACACGTGGATCGGTGAGGATCGATGGAAACGCTTGTGTGTCTTTCTTAATCGGCCAAACGAGTTACGTTTCGATTATGTGCGACGAACCGGACGACTCGGCGAACCGTTTGCACGCGTGTCATTTTACCTTTCCCATCCGAATTGGAACGAATTTTGGGATGCCATCGCGCGACCAACGATCTTGCATATCCTCGCTCGATCCCGCCACATCGTGAAGAAACTGTGTCCAATCGTGAGAAATTAGAATAGAACAAATTTGTGGAACAAATGAATCGAAAGAGAGTGTCGGAGAGCAAGGGAAAAGTGGCGAAGATCGAACGATCTCTCGAGGGTCGCGCGATGGGATTCGTCCGGCGCACGCACAAACGCAATATATCCACCAAGTGTTCAAGTTGGTTTCGGTGTTGGACCGACAAAGGNGGGGAGAATGAGAGTGAAAGAGGGGGAGAGAATGAAGTAACGTAAAAGTGTCGAGAAAGCTGTGGAGAGAGTGCGAGGAAAAAGAGAGAAAGGAAGAGCGCGCACACCGGTTAGGAAAAGAGTGGAAGGATCCGTTCGACGTTCGAAAGTCGTTCACGATTTTATAGAAACGATTCGCTGTTTTTTTTTTTTTTTGCGCGCGATCGCACCCACGGTTTTCTTCTTTCCCAACGCTTTTTATCATTGTTCGTTTTTACCGACCGAGAATTTATCTTCAAATTTCTTCCATCACTTTGTATCCGGTTAGTTAATCTTTTCTAAAGGGAGAGAGACCTTTTCGAGGGAAAAAGAATCTCTTTCTGAGATTTATTTTTTCAATTATTTGAGATAGATGAAAGAAAAAAAAGAAAAATATATCTCGATATCATCGTGCACGTAAGCGAGCAATGATACACTCCAATACAATCTTGTAGAATCAAGATACAAATTGTTGGAAAATTGTATTTCTCTCGATTCAGAGAATCTAATGTAATTTTTTGTAATAAAACGTCTTTCTAGATATATCTACATTAAATCGATATGAATATCAAAATGATGCAATAAATTATGTAACAATAATTCTCCGTTACAACGACTTCTGCGTTCATTTTTCGCGCGCGTCTTTATTCTTCAAGAAGATATATACATATATATATATAAATCGCTCGTCACTCGAGCAATCGAATGAGAAACGTTGGAAAGAAGGAAACTAAGGCAAAGAAAAAAAAAAAAAAATCTTGGAGGGAAAATTCAAACAACGTTTGTCGCAAGAAAAACACTTTTTCCCTCGCATCCTCGTGAATCGTCCCCGACTTTTTACTCGCCATTGTTACCGAGCGAGCGAGCGAGCGAGCGAGCCAGCGAATAAAACGGAACACGCCGTTTTCTCTTCCGCCTGTTTGAAGAGAAAAGAAAAACCTTTTCCCCGGAGAGAAGATGATTTCCTTTCTCGCCCAATGGAACAAACGTTCTTTTCTATTCCGTTCCATTTGACCGTTTACTCGATCGTCCGTACCGACACTGCTTTCTCTACTTCGGTCAGTAGTAAAACGACTCTTTCGCGGACGGGTTATTCTAGGACGTGGAGAGATCGCGGCCTCGAATGTGGGCGAAGAAAGAGGAATAAGATGGAGAGTGTACGGTAAACTTTCTACCGTTCCTGTTTTTTCTTTCTTTCGCCTTCGATTCCGGCGTGAATAAGATAGGGGAGGGGATACAGACGAGAGGGAGGTGTTTTCGAAATTTTGATACTCGTATTATATATATATATATATAAGCACACACACACATACATAGATATACAGCGTCCCGAAATTTGTATACGTTTACAAAGTAACCCCTTTTTGCGATGGAAAAGCAAAATAGTTGTTAAACGCTTCGACGATCGACGTGGAAATATACGTTTGGAAAAAGACACCGTTCTCGTGAGTTTCCTCGTTAAAGAATATCGCGAAGATTTTACTTGTTACTTAAAAAGAGTCTTAAGCCTGGATCTTTGGTATTTAATATCCATTAATATTGATTCTAATTAATTTAAACCACGGATTAGACATCAAAGGAAAATTCATCCAAATATCAATTAGTTGATTCAAGATTGTTAATTATCCGTGGCGATGAATTGTTTGTTCGATTTTGTTGTTTGATAACGAACGAGTGAAATCACCTCGCTATTCACAAGAACGAGAATCTTTTTAAAAAAAATCGAAAAGATGGTGTCTTTTTGTAAATAATTAAAACCGAAAATAATTCTCCCGCGAATCGTCGTTTTTTCCACGATTTTCCTAGACTGTGAATAATAAAAAAAACTGTCGTGTCGAAAGAGATATACAAATTAGTCTTTCAGAATCATCGAGAACGAAATTCTT